CCGCAGCTGGTGAAGTACCAGTTCATGCTCCATGGCTCCTAGCAATGCAGAGCATAAATGAATACCAGTTTCCACTGTAGAGGGGAATGGCTGTATCAGAGGAAGTTTTCTTTCTGCCTGAGCGTCTTACCAGGTGTTTTTGTTTCATTTGGGATGATGCAACGGACAAAATGGGGGTGAGTGCTCAGTAGATTGGTCATCAGCTTGTTTAGATTCTCCTGTGGGACCATGATTTAGTGTGTGTTTATATGAAATATGGGAAAACTAACTCGTAGGTTCTTTGAACCTAGGCCTATCAATTGAGATGCACTGGGCTGAAAATTATCAACTGATAATACCTCAACCAATAGCTATATCCCCTTTGATTATGAACATTGAACATCACCTTTTAGGATAAGAAAAAAAGTTGCCATCAACTGAATGAGAGTTAGGGGGTGGGTACTTCATAGTTTTGTCAGAAAATTCATGTTTATTTTAAGTGTAAGTTTAGGACTTTACAGTATCATTTTTCATTCCATAAGGTTGGTTTAGGTTTTTTTAATGATGATACGATCAAAAGTTGTTAGGTTGGTTTTTTTACTGTGGTTGAGCCAGTTGAAAGTGCAGTTTAATTGTAATTTGCATAGATGAAATTATAAAGTATTTAGTTACCCGGAAAAGAGCTGAGACCGTCTGGAAGGAAGAACCCTTCTTCTTGCCACCTTTCTTGCTGCCACCACCACCACTAGCCTCTGATAAAGGGAAGATAATGAAACATTTATGGCTTTGGGGCCCATTCATGATTCCACAGTTTTGAAGAACCACTGTACATTATGCAAAGGGATGACATGTCAGAGAACTGACCTGCCTCTCCACCAGCAGAGGCAAAAAGTAATGCCAGTGTCTTCACAGATGATTTCTGATACAGCCCAATGACAGTTTCATTTAGAGGGTCCTTGTTCTTTTCAAGCCAGCCAGTGATATTGTAGTCCACTGTACCAGCGTAGTGCACCAGGGAGAAGTGGGCCTCAGCCTTGCCTTTGCCAGGCTTGGGCTTCTGGAAGTTGTTGGACTTGCCCAGATGCTGGTCATAGAGCTTGTTCTTGAAAGAGGTGTCAGTTGCCTTGGGGAACATGCACTCCTCTTCCAGGATGGAGAAGATACCCATGGGCTGGAAGAAGCAGCAAAAAATAACAGCAATAAAATACAGATCTGCCTTCAGAAAGAGACTGCAGTAAGGCACAGGAAACTGAGAAACGGATTAAATTTTTGGATCAAAAATGGATCAAATCTTTGTTAAGTTTTGCACATGCAGTTCTAGACAAAATACGAATTTGTGTCTGAAACATGCATTTTAGAACTGATAGTGTCACAATAATCATACAAAGTTTTCTAAATTATTTGGAAACTCTGATGAATCAAAAGGAGATTTTTATTTTTTGCATTAATACTTTCCCAAGGTAAATTTATGTAGATGAAAGTGTCTTACTAACATCGACCTTTGTTCAACAGATCTACAGATTTTTCAGCTACATCCTGAAATCTTATTTTTCATGAGATATCTGTTTTTCCATTCCTGTACAAGAGGATGTTACACAAAACAGTGTCAGCCCATCGTGATGGTTTTATTCATCCCTGTTCATCCAGTAACTTTTTTCTATATAGACCTATGATTTTACTTAGAAATTGTGTTTCAGAAATCACAGTATTAATATTGAAATCATAATCATAACACTGAAAATTGTGTCTGTGTTTCTGAAGAGATCTTTCATCTTTATAGACTAGAAAACACACCTACAGAGAATCCCTGCCATGAAATTATGTGTGATCACATTAATTCTTGTATTACCAAACAAGCAAAATTACAGCTAATTTTTTAAAAAATGCATACTAATATAGTTAATGGATAACCTAAAGGTGCCTCATTTGTAGCCTAATCACAAAGGTAGTTAGAAATTTCTTTCTCAATACATATGATATTTGAAATGAAAAGGTACTTTTTGAATATAAATAACCAGGAAATTAAATGGATAATAATAGGTAGGTTTGTGAAGCATTATGGCAAGAAAAAATAAGGCTGAAGAAAAATCCTAAAATCCTGTCACAAAGAAGAAATAACAAAGTGTTAAATGTAATGAACATACTTTTTCAATGAGCTCAATGCAGGCAGCCAGATCCATCCCAAAGTCAATGAATGTCCATTCAATTCCCTCCTTCTTGTACTCCTCCTGCTCCAGCACAAACATGTGGTGGTTGAAGAACTGTTGCAGTTTCTCATTGGTGAAGTTGATGCACAGCTGCTCCAGGCTGTTGAACTGCTCAGTGCAAAGACAAGATTTATTCATTCTCAAGATGAAATGGAAGCCTGTATAGCTTTCTCCTGTGCACTCAGAATCCTATGCAGGGATGCCCAGTTAAAATGAAGATTTTTTAAATGTTAAAACAACCCATTAACTATTTTTAAAGAGGTTGTAGGCTTTTTTGCTCTTTGCTACCTGAATGATGTTTACATATATAATTTATTTTTAAATCAAATTCTGAAATGATTTGGTAGTCTTATACCTATCAAGGTGCAATTTACATCACTCTTTTCTCTTGTATAATGTAAATTATCCCATTGCCCTTAGAAAAAAAAATAGACATTGTCAGTGTTTACCAGTCCTGGTTTGGACTCAGGTACCTTCCCCAAATGTCTATCAAACTTCTCTGTCTGCACTAAAGGCAGCCAATGCTTTGGCTCTTCAGAAGTAAAGGATATATATAGCTGTCTTTTTCCAAAGCCTTGGCACAATTTTTTGTGGGACTTAAGTCTACCTTTCTGTTCCTACATTCTGTGATATTGTATCTTCAGTATTTATGTGCTATTTGTCAATGGATTTTTTTAATACTAAGCTAAAATAATTGAAAACTTACAACATTTGTGCTAATAATGTAAAAGGCAGCTGCTGCTTCTTTGTGTATCACACAAAGCTATTACATACAGATCCATTGAAGCTCATGGATTGTGCTGGAGAAAACGTAATGATGTATAAAAGGAAGGAAAGCATTTCTAGAAAATAAAAAATAAACTTTTTTAAAAAAATGCAAAACTTAATTTGAAATTGGAAGTTAATGGAATGTTTTTAAAAAAACTAACCATAGTTCTCCGGTTTCTCTTGAGCCCTAATTGTTTTTTCAAGATTTTATATGATTTCTGTGGTACTTGCATCAAAGATCTCGAAGCCAGCAATGTCCAGGACACCAATGAAGTACTGTCTGGGCTGCTTCGTATCCAGCTGTTGGTTGATGCGAACAACCATCCACAGAAACATCTTCTCATAGACAGCCTTTGCAAGAGCACCCACTGAATTGTTCACCTAAAACAAAGAAGAATGCAGCAGAAGAAAAACAATATCTGGAGCAAATAATAAGAGACACAAGCCAGAGGTTCTCAGTCACCAGCTGTTTGTTACCTGCTGCACGGTTTGACCCTTGGTCACATATTCATTCCCAACCTTGACTCGGGGGTAGCAGAGGGCCTTGAGCAGGTCAGCTGAGTTCAGACCCATCAAATAGGCAGCTTTGTCAGCAACTATACACAAAGAGAGAGGGAGACAGTGACAGAGAAGTGATCATTGAAAGTGGATGTCATCGAAGAGGTAGCTGTAGGTTTCAGCACTGCAATCTTGTCATAGCTTGAAGGGAAATTTAGAAGCATAAGTATTATGGAAGCTGAGATTTATGTCTTTATGAAAGTAAATTGGAGCAAGATATCTGAATGCCAACTGCCTATGGAACTGTTTCTGTTATTCCCAATGACAGCGTTCTAGATTTTGTTAATACCTTCTGTGCCATCTGGCTCTGCCTGTTCCTCACGCTGCTTCTGCTTGAACTTCAAGTTCCCATAGTGCATGACTGCTCCTGTCAGCTTGTAAATGGCTGTTTTCTCATCAGAAGTGAAACCCAGGATGTCAATGGCACTCTGGCAACAGAATGAGTCAAATGAACCTCTAGGCCGTTACATGGAACTTTCACTATACCAATATGCTCCATGTCACTTACATCTGTAGCTATCAGCTCCTCCTGGTCATTAATGCTGGCAACACTGATCTCACCTTGACTCACAAATTGGTAGTCATATGGGTTGGTGGTAATGAGGAGCATGTCTGTAAAGAGGAATAAGACATATCTGGGCATAAGAATGAAGATAAATGTTAAACACGCTCAGATTCCATCAAACAATTTATAATACTTCCTACCAATTAGCTCTGGCTTTTTGTTGGACATGATCTGATAGAATATGTGGTAGCTTCTTTCTGCCTTGAGCTGGAAAGTGACTCTGGACTTCTCAAGCAGATCTAGCAAGGATGGTAGGGCAGAGTTAGGCCTGAGAAAGTACACTGAAGTGGAAAGGGAGGAAGGAACGTGATCAAGTCAGGAGGTCTCTTACATGTTTCAATGTCAGCAGAAGCCAGTTTGCCTGTGGCTCCGAAGTGGATTCGAATGAATTTGCCCTTTAGAAGGGAAAGAAAAATGGCATTTTGACACTTCACTAAGACTGTAAGTATGTAACCTTACATTCTCCATAGAAGACAGAAGTTAAACTTAGAAGTTGTTTTGATTTTTTCTTATTTTTCTTAAAAAAAGAAAAACAACAACAAAAAACCCACACAGGAACCTGTCTATATCTCTCTATAGAGATGTATCTCTACATCTATGGCAATACTAAGATAAAGATCTGAGCTGAGCTATTGCTATGTAGTGGGTAACCCTGAATGCAAAGGAACAACAAAACCACTAAGCAAGCCTTTTATTAGGTCATTTATGGCTCAATTCAAACAGATGGGTATAGAGAAAGCCAAGATGCAGTCACTTATTTTTAATCAGATAGGATGCTGTGAAGGTGGATTTTGGTGGTGTAAATGTTAAATGATCTTTTTGGATCTTGCAGAAAAGTGGAAGGCAGCTGTTATTTTCTGAGTGGTGGGGATAGGGGCAACACACCCAGAACATAGAACTTTAGGCTGAGGCTGTGCACTGCTGGTGTGATTTCTCAAGGACATTCACAGCTTATATAATAACATTTACCAATTGTTTTTTGCATTTAAATGATCAAAAGGACATGTCATAGGGTAGTTTAGTTTCTGATAGGAAATCTTGAATACAGTTTTGTCCCTATCCCTTCCCAGACAACTTGTATCAAGGTCTGAAGTCAGATTAATAGACCTGCCCGGTTCTGTGTCTAAAAAATCAGAGATTCATATTTTTGCTGATCTGGTGCAGGCAATTTCCATCCTGTGTGTCTGCCTTTTTGTCCGTCCGTCCGTCCCTCCCTCCATTTCTCCCTCCCTCCCTTCATTCTGCATTATATCAATTTACACAAATTTGTATCTACAGTCTGTACGACAGATGCCAGGAGTATGTGTATATATATATTTTTTATAAATAT